GTGGGGCTGCCCGCGGTCAGGGCTGCTCACGCGGGGGTGGGGGGAAGGAGGGAGAGGGGCCCTCAGAGCGGGTGGGGGACAGCGGCGGGGGGCAGGCACCGTGTGCCATGGACATCTGGGAGGATGCTGCGGCTTTCCCGAGGTTACAGGGGAGCGAGGGCTGCAGTGAGCAGGACCCCCAGCTAATGACATGTCCAGCAAGACATGGAGGGAGGACAGAGAAGGGTGGTGGCTGTCACCAAGGACATTCCGCACCCCCTTGGGTGTCCCCACAGCACTGGGAATGTTTGCACAGGCAAACGCCGTGCCTTTCCCATGGCATCTCCCCTCCCCGATGGCCCTCACCTCCCACGCTCGCCCGCCGGCGCCCCCGTCTCGCCCATGCTGCTGGCATTGGTCAGGGTCACCCCCTCGCCCTTCTTCTGCTTCTCCTTCCGTGTTATCGTGTGCGTTAGGTCCGGGTTCCACTCCTGCAAGCACAAAGCAACCGGCCCCTGAGCGCCCGGCCGATGACCACCCCCCCCAGCGGGGCCCCCAGCCTCACCTCGAACTGGGGCCAGTTCATGGGCATCCCGGGGCCACTGCTGCTGCGGAACCACCGGAGATCCTCCTGCGCGTCCGAGAGGCGGATGGCCTGCTCCAGCTCCCGGTAGACGTTGGCGTAGCTGCGAGGAGAGACGCGGGTCGGGGTGCTGCGGGTGGGGGTGCACCCCGGCGGGCTGCCCCGGGGAGGGGGTGGGACGGGGACATGCCCCAGGTCGTGTCACCTCCTACGAGGCACTGGGGGGTGCCGGGCTCCCGCACAGCCCTCCTGCCACTCTGGTACCTCTTAGTGACCATTGTGTTGGCCAGAAAACCCTCTCCCTTGTGTTGCAGGGGGTGGGTTGTCCTGGAAGCACTCGGTCCCTCCAGGGCTTGGTTTGCTTTCCAGGCAGCACGAGGAGACCTTGCGTGGGCACCTTCTGCCCAGCCAGCGCAGGAGGCACCTACCTGCTGCTCTCGGCCAGGTTCAGGTGCCTCTTGATGTCCAGGAGCACTTCCTTGAGGAAGTTGAGCCTCTTCTCCTCAAACTGCTGGCACTGCTCAAAGACCTGCTCCATGCTCTCGATGTACTGTGGGGTGCACTTGTTCAGCTCGTCCAACACCTTCTCGTACTTCTCCTGAGTCTGCAAAGGTGCAGGAGGGTACCTTGGTTATACTTTGAGCACCTCAGAGGCCCTTTCTGGGTGCTGAGAGGGTCTGGTTTTGTGGGCCACCACGCTGGGGAGCCCAGATTGAGCCAAGAGCCTCTGTGGGTGAAATCAGTCTGCCTGCTGGAAAGATTTTGCCCCAGTAAGAGCGGTAAATCTCTCTCCCCTGAGCACTGCCTGCAAGTCCTCACCCTTCTACAGGTGCGTAGGGCTGGGAAAATGGGAATGAATGGGGGAAAAGGGGCGTGGTGGCCATTTCCACTGGTTTTCCCTGCCCGATGCCTCGTGAGCCCGGAGCAGGGCAGCGGCTCGCACCTTTTGCACATCTTGCTTGCATTTTTCCACTTTGTCCTGGAGCTTCTTCTGCTGCTCAGGGGTGTTGGACTGCTCCGCCTTGCTGTTGGCTTCCCGGGTCATCGCCAGCTTCTCCTCCTTGCATGCCAGGTGGTAGGCTTTCTTGGCTGTCTCCAGCTGTGGAGAGGAGAGAGAAGGGACGTCAGAGTAGCAGTCACAGCCCTCTGCCCATCCTTCTGCCTGCAGGGAGGTGCCACCCGGCTCTCCAAGCCTGGATTGGGCACCCAGAGCCGGAGCTGGGAGATGGCATGGGTGCCCCAGGACACGCTGCGCTTCTCCTCTCACCTCCTTGAGCTTCTTGGCCCAGGGCTTCTGGGCTTTCCGGAAGCCGTCCTCAGCCTCCTTGGCCTCCTTGAAACCTCCCATGATCTGCTTGTGGTAGGCGTCCTTCTGCCAGTTCTTGACCTTCTCGAAGTCATCGTTCAGCAGGCTGTTCTTCACGTCCTGGTGCAGCTCGCTCACCTTGTCCGCCTCCGTCATGATGGCACCCCACGCCTTCTCCAGGCTGCCATACTGGGGACCTGGGGGGCAAAGGGGACAGCTGAGTGTCACTCCACAGCCCTTACCCCCTCCATCTCTACCAGGTAAAGTTGTGATGGTGCACGGGGACCCATGGGACCCAGGTGTCCTGAGGGGAGCCTCCCCCTGGGGAGGTCACGGTACCTTTCTCGATGAGCTGCCTCCACCGCTTGGACCAGTCGGTGAGCTGCTGGGCGTAGGACTTCTCGATCTTGGCCCGCTCGTGCACGCAGTTCATGAGGTCATTGCAGAGCCGGTGCCCGTCATCGATCCGCTTCACTGTGCGCTTGTAGTTCCCCACCTGGGAGGGGGATGGGGATGGGGACAGGCAGGCATGGAAGCTGCGGCCGGGCCACCCGGCTCAGCCCCAGCTGTCCCGGGGTGGGGACGGGGGGAGCACCGGGCACTTTGGGGGTGCAGGGATGGGGCTCTTGCTTTGGGGCTGCTCAAACCCAGCTCCTTTCGGTCCCCTCCATCGCTCTGCGCCCCTCGGGGACAGACGAGGTTGAGACCTCCAGCAGAGATGGCTGGGACACCTGAGCCACCGCGGCAGAGATGCCCGCAGGCAGAGCTTGCTGCGGGAGGGGAGGGCAGCACCGTTCCCCCCCCCCCAGCCCGGGGGACACCCTGGGATGCAGTGACGGCAGCGGGGGCCCCGCGGGAGGAGAAGGCGGCCGGGACTCACCTCCCAGAAGCTGTCGGTTGTTCCCTCTGCGGCCGCCGCCGACTCGTCGTAGGAACCCGACATGGCTCCCGGCGCTGCCTCAGGCGTCAGCGCGGGCGCTGGGTGGCTCCTGGGCAAGCACCAGCCTCATGCACTGAGGGGAGAAGAGGGGGGAGTCATGGGGGGGACGAGCAGGGGACCCCCATCCCTCCTGCCCGCAGCACCGCGGGACAAGCATCCAGCTGCAGGGGATGGGGACGGGAATGGGGACAGGGATGGAGATGGGGATGGAGATGGGAATGGTGCCCGTTCCAGCTCCAGACACACAGAATCCTCCAGTGCCCCCCCAACCCCAAGGTGCCATCCAAATCCCCCCCGAAGCCAGCTGAGCTGGGAGGGAGAGTCACGGGGAGCAGCACGGCAAGGAGCTCACCGGCCGAGGGCCTGGCTTGGCACCGCGCGTCCCTGGGGAGCCGCGGCGCGGGGCGAGGGGCCGTGGCGGGGCCGGGGGAGGGTGGGTATGCGCCGCCCGAAGAAATTCTCGTCCTGATATTCCACCCTAAACGGCATCCCCGGAGCATCACGTGGCCCCGCTGCACGGCTTAACCCTTTGCCGCTTTGCCGAGAGCCGCGGCTGGGGATGCGGGCTGGTGGGTGGCATCACATGGGGACCGAGAGGGGACCGTGGTGGCCATGAGCATCCTCATCATCCCCGTCCTGCCCCAGCTCCGGTCAGTGCTCCCGCGGGGAAGCGCTGGGCCTGTCCCGCATGGCATCTGCCACTGGGATGGGGACAAAGTGGCCATGAACTGCCCCAATTTCCTCCTGCCCCATCCCCAAAAGGGCTGCAGGAGTGGGATGTGGCCGTGATCCCCGTGCACCATCACTTCTCCCGGGGAGGTGGAGCAGGCAGCGGAAGACCCGGCTGCCTGCATCCCACCCTGCACCTGGGAGAGGGCGATAGGGTGGGAGGGCAGGGCTGGGGGGTGCGGGGTCCTGGTGCCCCGGTGCCCACCCATGGGGAACAGTTGGTGGGTGCCTGCGTGCTCCAGCTGTGCGCACAGCTGGCTGCGAGGAGCCTGTGAGTTGGGGCAGGGCGGCAGCAGGGCACGGCCCCGGGAGGAAGGGGGGTCGAAACGGTTACTGGAGCACGGCGCAGGGCTCGCTGTGCTGGAACTAACAGGGCCTGGCAGGGATTTAGTGATATAACCAGGGAGGCACCAATCCCCGCCATCCTCCCCAGCCGGTTAAAAATAAACGCATGACTGTCCCTCGCTCAGCCGCCAAGACACAGATGGATGAGAGACCGTGGCGATGCGCAGCACCGTCCCCCCGCAGCCGGCAACACGCGGCGCCCGTGTCTGCCTGGCACCCACGGCACAACCACCGCCCTCCCCACCCATGAGAGCGCCCAACCCGAACACCCACGGGCTGCCCTGGTGCACCCGCAGCGGTGGCAGAGCAGCCGGTGGCACACCCCCCAGGGGACCCCGCAGGGTGCCACATGTGGCCATCCCTCCTGCAAGCCCCCGGCACGGTGCAGCGCTCAGAGCCGGGGTCTTTGTTTGTGCCTCTGGTCTCTGGCTCTTTGTTGTGTTGCAGAGGCTGTGCTGGCACGGCAAGGGCATCCTTGGGCAAGGATGGAGCAAGGGCAGCTCCAGCCCTGCTCAAGGCCGGGGCAGGGACCCCAGGGAGGGAGCACACCCACGGCTGGGGGTACCCTGGGACCCACGGGCACATGAGCCAGCCCCAGCTGCCCCCACCAAGCCGCCAGCAGCCGAGGCCGTGGAGCACTGCGGGACATGGCTGCCGCAGCTCCCGCTCCTCACCGTTACCTGGTCTGAGCCGCAGCCTGGGGGTTATTTTTGGCTCTGCATCACTTCCCAGCTAACGCTGCCGCCTTGTTGCCACTCTCCTGCCACGCACCCGCATGCGTGACCATCCTCGCACGCCCACGCGTGTGCCCCCTGCCACGCTGGGCCACCCTGGCTGCCTGCGCAGCACACGCCAGCCCCACGCCCGCTGCCCTGGCCCCGCCAGCGCAGCCCATCGTTTCGCATTAAGGCAGCTGGTGGTGATGCCCCGGCGCCTGCAGTGCCGGCGGGTGAGGTGGCGAGCTGCCAGCCCCAGCCACGCGCTGCCGCCTGGGCACCCTCAGCTGAGGGGGCTCCGCTTCGACCCCCCCAGCCCCACGTTTCCACGAAGCTGCCGGAGAGAAGCCGCAGAGCGTTTGGCATCGAGTGATGGTGAAGTTTGTCCCAGCTCCTGCACCCGTGTGCCCTTGGGTTGCTCCCACAGCAGCCACCCTCCCTGCATCTCCCTCCCCATCAGCCCACTCGGCGCTGAGCACTTCTGCAGCTCATCTCACCCACCGGGCAGCTCCTGCTGCTGCCGGCGTTGCAGGGGGGTCTCTGCCCTCCGCAGGGGCCAGGGACGCGGCTGCCGACCCTGCGCAGGCAGGAGGCTGCTGCAATGCAGAGGGCTGGCGCTGCTGACACTGCGGGCACGGGCAGCTGCCTGTACTCCCACAGCCGGCAGTGCCCTGTCCCCACGCAGGCAGAGACAGCCCGGTTTTGCCATCCCCTGCCGCTGGCAGAAGAGCCTGGGCACCTGGCGCGCAAAGGGGCTGCAGAGCTTTGGGCCAGCCCTGCTCCAGCATCCACACTGCCTGCCTGCCTCCCTCCCTCCCACAGTTCCCCAGGGCCCAGGAAGGGCGAGAGGGACAAGCCGGGTCCCCCGGGGGGGGCCAGCCAGGCCCCTGACTCTCCCCACTCTCTTTGCCTTTGCCAGAGCTTTGCCTTTGCTGTAACACCGTCATTAAATGTGCAACCCCCAGTGCAGCAGCCTCAGGGTGCGCTGTTGGATGGGGGTGCCCCATCCTGGGTTCTGAGGTCCCCGGTGAGGTGCCAGGCACCAGCTCCAGCCCTGGGGAGGCTGTGTCCGGGCAGCAGATTGCTCTGCCTCCAGGTTTTTTGGCTGCCCTGGCCCCAGCACCTCTGTTGCAGCCAAAAAGCAGGTGATGATGTGATACAAGGAGCAGGCAGCTGCCTGCATGTGCTCCCATCCTGCCTGCTTGCACATCAGCTGAGCCTGCTCAGGACCAGGGGCCAGGAGGGGCTGCAGAGCCTCCCAGTGCAGGTTCTCCTGCTGCAGAGAGCCCTTGGCCAAGGCAGGATGGTGGCAGATGGAGGGGAGTCCCTTGGCCAAGGCAGGATGGTGGCAGATGCGCTGCAAGGAGGGGAGCGGAGCACAGAGCGAGCCTGTGTCCCCATCCCTGTCCCCATCCTGTCCCAGGGCAGGAGTTTCACACTCGTGGTGAACGGGAGAGGGCCGGGTGTGAGCCCTGCCGCAGGAGTGCGAGCGCTGACGGGGCTGGGAGGGGAGTCAGTGACTATTGGTGAAAGCATCCAGGGAAGGGGGAAGCCACGCTGGCAGCTGCGCTCGATCTGCAGGAATCAGAGCAAGCGGGGAGCTCCCCGACACCAACCCCGAGCACAAACTGATGCAATGCATGACATTTCCCTGGTGCAAACCCCTTCCGCAGCCGCAGCGTCCCAACACGGAGCCACAGCCCAGCCCGGCCGGTGCCACCCGAGGGACCCTCGCTTGCCAGAGCACGTGAGCTGGAGACAGGATGGTAATTTGCTGCACGCTGATGCCTTGTAGTTACCTGGGGGCTCCCAGCAGTAAAGCTGAAGCTCAGCAATTGGAAAGGACCCAATGGTCTGAGCCAGTTTTACTGCAATTAATCGCTGGGATTGACCCGGCCTGTCAAATCAAACAGTCCGTAGGGCTGCAATGTGAAATAGTTGCTACGTGGCTCCTTTTGTAAGCACACGAGGCCGAGGATGAGTGCAGGGGTTTAGGGGGAGGGAGTCAGGCATGGGTTTGGGTTTTTGGCCGCGGGGAAGGTCATTTGTTCTCCCTTATCTCAGCACAGGGCTGGTCAAGGCTCTGTCAGTGGGTGTAGCACCAAACGCCACCGCGACACACCACTGCTATCGCCACGTGAAAACCACTCGCAGCGAAGACAAATGGACTCGAAACGGCTGAGGAAGCCCAGGGCAGCGCCACGAGCGGAGCCCAACTGCCCGCAAACCCTCTGAGGAGCTCGGCAGCAGCGTCTCCCACCGCGCCACGCCAGCTCCAAGGCTGCCATGCTGCTGCATCGGCCGCCGGCAGTACCCGACCTCAGAGCCGCATCCAGCGCGGGCACTGATGCCCACGTGCTGCTCCTGCTATGGCGAAGTATGGGGGGGTGAGATGCCCCCGGCACGATGGCAGGTCCTCGAGCAAAGCCAGTGACGCCGGTGTGCTTTGCAAGAGGCTGGTTTGCTGCTGGTTTGCCGGCTGGTTTGCTGCTCAGCTTTGACCCGGCCGGGTGGCTGCAGGTTTCCCACCGGCGCAGGGCTGATCTATGCAATCCATGGGGCAGGGAAATGCTCCCATGGGGCTGGCGAGGGTCGCAGCCCAGGGAGCAAGGGAGGTGCAGAGGGGTTTGGCTGTGGCATGGCTGAACCATCCCCCCCTCTCCGGAGCTGACGTGGACCCTGCGAGGAAACGGTTAAGTGGGTGCTGCTGATTCACGCTGGCAGACGGCTCTGCACCAGGCACTTGGGCGAGGAGGCAGGAGCGGAGCTGGGGCTCGGGGCTGAGCAGCCTGGAGGGGCGTGAGCAGCCTGAACACGCATCCTCCCCCCTGGTTATCAAACAGAGCCCAAGGCCAGGCAGGCGGTGAGCCTGGGCCCCTCCCAAGCCGCCTGCTCCATGCACTCCTGTCAGGGCCCTGTCCTGCATCCCCTGGCAAAACCCCTCTGGCTGCAACACGAGTTGGAGCCCCAGGGCAAAGAGCCGACCTGTGGCCAGATGGGAGGGGACGGGTGTCCCCTGTACACCGGGTGCTTCTCCGTGGGATTTGGGCCAGGGCAGTGCCGTGGGGCTGGCTTGGACCTGGTGCACGTGGTTGCTCGAGCAGTGCACGCGGTGGCTGCGAGGACAGCGGGTTCCTGGAGGTGGCATGTAGGTAACGGTGGGAAACTTCTTCTGGGAGTCGCTTTTCCAATGAATCCTGTGTGGGATGCACGTGCAGCAGCCGCCTTGCTTCAATTAAAGTCGTCTGCATCGACCGGGGGGTTCTGAGAATTAGCGGGGGGA